CTACGCCTCAATCTTACCTAGCAGTTCAAATAGTTCCTTACGCCCTAAGCCTCAAGCTTACCTAGCAGTTCAAACAGTGCTTTACGCACTACGTCTCAAGCTTACCTAGCAGTTCAAACAGTTCTTTACGTCCTACGCCTCAAGCTTACGTAGCAGTTCAAAGGGCTCTTTACGCCCTACGCCTCAAGTTTACTTTGCAGTTAAAACATTTCTTTACGCCCTAAGCCACAAGCTTACATAGCAGTTCAAACAGTTCTTTACGCCTTACGACTCAAGCTTATCTAGCAGTTCAAACAGTTCTTTACGCCCTATGCCTCAAGCTTAACTAGCATTTCAAACAGTTCCTTACGCCCTACGCCTCAAGCTTACATAGCAGGTCAAATAGTTCTTTACGCCCTACACCTCAAACTTATATAGCAGTTCAAATAGTTCTTTACGCCCTACGCCTCAAGCTTACCTAGCAGTTCAAACAGTTCTTTACGCCCTATGCCTCAAGCTTACCCAGCAGTTCAAACAGTTCTTTACGCAGTACGTCTCAAGCTTACCTAGCAGTTCAAACAGTTCTTTACGCCCTAAGAATCAAGCTTACCTAGTAGTTCAAACAGTTCTTTACGCCCTACGCCTCAAGCTTATATAGCAGTTCAAACAGTTATTTACACCCTATGCCTAAAGCTTACCTAGCAGTTCAAACAGTTCTTTACACCCTATGCCTCAAGCTTACCTAACAGTTCAAACAGTATTTTATTCCTCAAGCTTACCTAGCAATTCAAACGGTTATTTACGTCTTACGCCTCATGCTTGCTTAGCAGTTCAAACAGTTCTTTACGCCCTACGCCTCAAGCTTACCTACCAGTTCAAACAGTTTTTTACGCACTACGCCTCAAGCTTACCTAGCAGTTCAAACAGTTCTTTACGCACTACGCCTCAAGCTTACCTAGCAATTCAAACAGTTCTTTACGCCCTACGAACTTCTGCACCCTGAACTCAGTTTTGAACCCTGATACGAACGAGGTCTCAAAGAGTCAACGTGAACACATGGCTTCCATAACAGAGACAGAATTTTAATACATCACCTCAAACAAGAATCTCTGTTTCTTCTTTGCCCATTACTATATCAACCACTAAAGTAATGATTTCAAATCTGGACTTTGACCTATCCACTTTGGAGGCGTTATGAACTTTCAAGGGAGAGTAACTACTCAGATGAAAAAGATCTTGAATCAACAGAAATGTGTTTCTACAGAAGGATGCTGAGGATACCGTGGACCGAACACGTGAGCAACGACGATGTTTGGAAGAAAATGGAAACAAAAAGGAAACTAATACTTAACATCAGGAAGAGACAATCGAGGTTTCTGAGGAATATGGTGAGGAAGGAGGGCTTAGAAAATCTGATATTCACAGGAGAGAATGAAGGTAAGGACAGCGGAAGACGTATAACATACTTAATTAGTTTGAGTAAATAACAGAAAGTCAAAGTTTATTAAGTGCTACAAGAGACAAGAAGTTGTGGAGAGTCATGATCGCCTACCGCCTGAGAGGAGACGACACATAAAAAAGAACTGCCTGAATAAGTTAGAGGGAGTGTGATTTCAACATGGTTTTAAATGCTATTTAATATTGGGACAACATTTTCTTTAAACCTTTGTTTATTGTTTTGTATATTTACATTTTTCTACGCATTTTAAGGAATATTAATATTGTAATCTGTCTATAGATATTGGTACAGACAAAAAAACTGCAAATTAAAGACAGTGGCTTCTATGGTATGATCTGATGACTCCTGATACGTTGTTTCCACCACAGTTTACTTCCGATATATCAGTTTCTATGGGCGGTATAATGAATGTGTCATGGGCGCTATTACTCATCACACGACTTGATTGTGTCATAAAACTTTCACCGAATTTTCACTTATTTTGTCAATATTAAATAAACCCTGGACAATACTTATATATTGAAAATAAATATTTAAAATAAGAACTAGAAAACTTTATGATGTATAATTCCTATTTATATATATATATATATATATATATATATATATATATATATATATATATATATAAAAGTGAACATAGAAGTCAACACTTAGAGGCGACAGTCTGTTTTATGCTATATGCAATCGTCAGGCCACGTGTGCTGTTATTTTTCTCGGCTATTTATATATATACAGGTTAGTGGTGCATTGTGGGTAGTCTATTATGGCGGTTATTTTACCGGAAGTCGTTTATTTATTTATTTGGGTTAAATTATTTTGCTTGTTTTTATTTATTTTTATTTTTTGTTTCTTATTTTTTTATTTATTTTTTGGGGGCCTGACGATTGCATATAGTATGAAACAGACTGTCGCCTCTAAGTGTTGACTTCTATGTTCACTTTTATATTTACACACGCTCTATCTCTGATACTGAGCACTTTATTCCATAAATATAGCACACCTTAAGACTATATTTCTTCATATATATGTATATATAAATATACATATATAAATGTAGATATATATATATATATATATATATATATATATATATATATATATATATATATATATATATATATATATATATATATATATATATATATAATGGACTCTCCCGTCGGTTTCGACGTATGAGGATCTGACAGCTTAGTTGATTCAGTTATGAAATTTTGTGCGATAATCTTAAGTGGCATTTATTACCCGGTAGTAATTTACAAAGGAGGGCACATAAGTGTGAGGATTGTGAAGAAAGTATGTATGTAAATTGGCTAGGGTTATCTGCGGTCATGACCACTAGTTTACTTACTTATGCTGGTTGGGTGGTTGGAGTAAGTGTGTGCTTAAACAGGCTCGGATCATTTATGGTCATCAGCTGTAGATTGCTTATTTTTACTGGTTGGGTGGTCGGCGGAAGTGTGGAAGTAAATAGGCGGCGTTTATTTATAGTTATGACCATTAGATTTCTTATTTATGCAGATTGGTTTGTATATAAATAGACTAGTCTTCTCTGTGCTCATGACCACTATATTACTTCCTTGTGTTGGTTAGGTGGTTGGAGGAAGTATGTATGTAAATAGGCTAGGTTTATCTACGACTAATACCAATAGATTACTCCTTGTGATGGTTGGGTGTTTGAAGGAAGTACATATGTAAATAGGATAGGGTTAACTGTGGTCATGACCTCTAGATTACTGGTTGGGTTATTGGAGGAAGTGTGTGTTTAAATAGGTTAGTGTTATTTATGGTCATTTCCTGTAGATTACATATTTATGCTGGTTGGGTGATTGGGGGAAGTGTGTGTTTAAATAGGTTAGTGTTATTTATGGTCATTTTCTGTAGATTACATATTTATGCTGGTTGGGTGATTGGAGGAAGTGTGTGTTTAAATAGGCTAGTGTTATTTATGGTCATTTTCTGTAGATTACATATTTATGCTGGTTGGGTGATTGGAGGAAGTGTGTGTTTAAATAGGCTAGTGTTATTTATGGCCATGTCCTGTAGATTTACATATTTATTCTGGTTGGGTGAGTGGCGTAAGTGCATATAGAAATAGGCTAGGATTATTTATGTTTATGACTTCTAGATTGCTTAGTTATGCAGGTTGGGTGATTTGAGGAAGTAATCTGTATGAAACTAGGCTATGTTTATTTACCCTCATAACCTCTAGAATACTTATTTATGCTGGTTGGGTGGTTGGAGGAAGTGTGTATATAAATAAGCTAAGGTTATTTATGGTCATGACCTCTAGAATATTTTATTATACCGATTAGGTGTTTGTCTAAATAGGCTAGTTTTTATCTGTATAAATCGAGTATTTTGTGATGGTTGGGTGGTTGGATGATGTATGTATATAAATAGGCTAAGGTTATCTGCGGTCATGTCCTGTAGATTACTTATGCTGTTTGCGATGTTAGAAGAAGAGTGCTAGTTGGGTGATTGGAGGAAGTGTGTATATGCTAAGGTTATCTGCGCTCATGACCTCGAGTAACTTATGCTGTTTGTTGTTGGTGGAAGTGTTGTGTGCATAAATAGGCTAGGGCTATTTATGGTCATGACCGCTAGATTATTTATTTGTGCTGGTTGGGTGGTTGGAGGAAATGTATATGTGAATATCTGCCATATCTGTGTATATGTGTTATATGCCGTCATGACCTCTATATTACTTACCTATGCAAGTTATGTGGTCGTAGGAAGTTTGTACGCAAATAGACTAAGGTTATTTATGGTCATGACTTCTAGATTACTTATGCTGATTGGGTGATTGGAGGAAGTGTTTATCTAAATCGGCTTAAGTTATCTGAGGTCATGACCTCAATATTACTTACCTATGCAAGTTGGGTGGTTGTAGGAAGTTTGTACGCAAATAGACTAAGGTTATTTATGGTCATGACTTCTAGAATACTTACTTATGCTGATTGGGCGATTGGAGGAAGTGTTTGTCTAAAGCGGCTTAAGTTATCTGCGGTCATGACCTAGTGTAACTTACTTGTGCTGGTTGGGTGGCTGGAGGAAGTGCGTAAGTAGATAGGCTAGTGTTATTTATGGTCATGTCCTCTAAAATACTTACTTATAAAGTTTGGGTGGTTGTGGGAAGTGTGTATGTTAATGGCCGACGTTATTTACAGTTATGTCGGTTACTAAGAATAAGTTAAATCGCCTTGAAAGAAATACGAGTAAAAAGAATAGAATTTAATAAAATCATTAAATATGACAGTTTTGTGTTTGGAGGATTCGTTGATTGAATTTTTGTTTTGTTTTTGTTTTGTTTTTAATTTCATGAACCCTTTTTATTTATTTGAAGATGAAACATATATCACTTCGTAGAGGGTTGCTTATTGCATCCAATGTTACCAAGTGGTCCCCTATCCGAACTCGACGAATTCTCTGTTGCATAACTTCGATGACCGTCTTATTTGACTGAAGACGTGTTCAAAGGAAATAAAAAATTAAGATTATATCGTTACAAATGAGTTTTTTTTTTTAATCACTGAGTCAGGTAACTCATTCAGTGGAGTACCTATCGTTGTCAGCTCAATTTCCCTAAATGAAAGAGATGTGATCTCAAACATGGCCGGCATTGTACACTTTATAACCAACCTGTATTATTTACTTACGATCGTAGAATGACGATCTAAGTTGTGGTGAAGAAAAGCAACTAAAATTAAAATTAAATAAATATTTGTGAAAATTTAATCATGGCTATTGTATTTGATGATCTTTAAATTCCCATATCTGATTACCTTCGGATATGTGCCGGTAGCGTGACGATTATCAGCGCAAAAATCGGAGAACGGTGTTCAAATTCTGGCTTAGTCTGCTGCGATCATTTTTGTTTATTTAATGGCATATCAATATCTTATGGGTCATTAAATCCGAAATTTAATTTTCTTGTCAGGTTTGACAATTTCTTTTTCATCCAAAATTGCATTGCTAGTAATTTTTTTTTTAATGAAAATAATAGTTTCTAATTTATTTTTATATTTTCATATTGCGACTCCAGTTTGAGCGTCCACTATTTGTCCATAGCGCGGGCCCTAACGAGTGCTACAACCATGGATAAGGGTGGACGATTCATTTTTGTATTATTACCTTTAGGAAAGACATGACGCCGTTACTTCTTTCATCCAACTATAGGTGACATAGCAATGTAGACTAAGCTCTCTAGCCTTGAATAGTAAGATGACTGACAACTCTAAATCAAATCAACTATATTTCCAAAGAATTAACGATGATTCGGAGATAATCAAAAAAGAAACTGTGGAGAGCCATGATTTTCGAAATCTTGTTGGTATTTTTTTTCTTTTAATTACAATTAACATATATTTTTAAATAATTTCAACAACCAAACATCGACCCACCGCGAAAAATAAAGACGAGAATGGGAAAAATTTAGCAGGAAGCGAAAATCCAGTCCTAAGCAGGAAAGAAGGGAAACACCTTAAGATAAGGGTGAAGGGCCATGAACAGGGTGATAGGCGAACCTATCTTCTCGCACTGAAAAAAATAAAAAAAATAAATGATTAATTTTTTAAAACAAAGTAAATAACGTTTTTGTGATTAATGTACTATGGATTTAAATTAGGTATAAACACAGGTGGAACTGGCGTGTCACGTTCGAATTCCAGCTGCGAGCGTTGCGTTCACTTTCACACAAATACTCCTAGAATGATATGAATCTACCCGATTCCCGTTCCCTCAAAATTAAGGCGTTAATAGCAGCGTAGCGTGGGCTGTCTAATCTTGGTTCGCAATCAGTCCAATAGAAGGACAACTCTAAATTCAAAACCGATTAGGAGAATATCCTTAACACAACAGCAACCCCTAATGTGGTGAAGCTGTAGCTCTATACACCACAGGGATGTTTCCATGATAGCTATCTAGTCGTTACACGAGTATGACCATCACTGACAAGTTCTCCGTCTACTCTTGTTTTGGAATTCAGAGTTTTTATTCTCCTTGACCGGTTGGCAACCAAGACTGAAAAGTTCAGTCGGCATTACTTTAACCTATTACTATATATATATATATATATATATATATATATATATATATAGTAATCCACAGACAGACTGTTTCGCTGTATCACAGCTCTTCAGTGTGACTAGACGTCCGGTTGCCTCTAGCTAGGATCGAAACCTGGCTGAACTGACGTCAGTCGGAGATTCTACCACGAAGCCGACGGCAGGGATGAAGGTGAATTTAAGCGTATTCATTTTTAGATAAACACACAGTGACCGAGAGGACACGATTCGCTTTACCGAAGTGTCTTGCATATATATATATATATTTCCATGGATTAAATATTGAAGCTACATCTGGTCTGATGCTTCTGCTGTGTATTTAGAGATTCTAGATAAAATAAAAAGAAGAATCAGTAATCTATTTACATTATTCGGACTATTATCCTCATCTTTGTTGTCATATTTATCACAACGTTTCGGCCGTTGTACTATCCGGCCTTCTTCAGGTGGTTGGAATGTCGAACTGAACGCTTTATTTCGCTCGCTGTGATAGACTGTTCTAGTTCCACGTGCCATGTCTAACGGATGTCAGTTATCAGTAATCTCCTGTTAATTCACCTCTCCACTGCCTTAACCAGGTATTGAACTCACAACTCTGTCACTGGATCTAGCTAACTAACACCTTTATCCACTGTGCCATGTGTCCTTAATGCAATAAATATATCACAGTAATATATATATAGTCTTTCCACTTCATGACAGCTGACGACGTTAGCCCGAGAAGACGCAACGAGTCATTTTCCTGGATGTTATCATCAATTCCAGGAGCTCGTATCGAAGAACGAAATCCTTTTTAAAAACTTACAAGTCCGTAACTCTAACAATTAGGCTGCGATAGGTGCAGCAGGAAGCTGACATTTTTTTTTCTTTTTACTTTAATTCCATAAATAAAAAGGGTTGAAGATTTGGTGTGCTAATAAATCTTAAGACCCAGAGGTACTGCGTACCGTATCTTTTTCTTTGCTGTCTTCACTTGAGGCAATGTCGCTTAATTTTATTTTTTGCAGTTTACGTAAGCTATTTTTTTTTTTTTTTTTACCTTTTACAGATATAACCAAGGTGAAACCCAGGGTGGCGCCCTTTTCATTTTATACCCTGTCTAGGGGTAGTTTTTAAAGAGAACAGGGATGGGGGAGAGAACAGTCGTCTTTACTTTTATTTCCTGATTAAAATCTAAGCTATTGTTTCCTGTACCTGATTTGGGCTACAGGCGCACAAAAGGTCGACAGGATTTTGATAAATGGGCAAATTTCGTCGCGGAAGAAAAAGAGGAATCTATATATTAATACTTTCGTTCATACCTACCCCCACCCGTCTCTTTACGAACAACCTACCTGCTTACCTATGATGCGTGTAGCGCTTCCGGTGTTATCGTAAAACATACTGAAGCAATTACCGCATTTGATGATGTATATGACCCCACTTTTTCCCTCCCAAATGGCTTAGAATATATCTCCCGTGTATTATATACGATATAAACTTGAAACAACAGAAATGTGGTTCTATCGAAGAATGCTGAGGAGACCATGATACGAACGTGTAAGCAACGAAATTTATTTAACATCAGGTAGAGAGTTTCTAGGGCAAAAGTGGAAAAGTGTTTAGGAGAAATAAAAGACAAAATTTAATTAAGAGGTAAAAGAGACAAGAAGCTACGTCATGCGGGAACATGGCGCATAAAGAAGGATTTAGGTTCGTTTTCGTAAAGCCGGTCTAAGATCCAAATTGTTACACTGACAACAAGGTCTGTTTTGTCACACTGGACTTTGGTTCCGTTTTATTACGCTTCCATCAGGGCTTATTTTATATCCATGTTTACTTACCTGGTGCGAGTTCCCAGTTTCTTACGAGGTTCCGTTTCGACACAGGATATTATCATCAGCTCTAGTTTTGACAGACAGGACAATAACATTAACTCCCAATTTTATTTTAAATTTTACGATGACCGCAGATCCGTTTTGACATAAACACCACTGTCATCAGCTATAGTTTGTTATATTCAAGGATTCAAGGATCTTTTCCAAGGCACCAACTCGATTTTTTCATTTTTTTTTCTTTTTTACATTAGCTTCAGGCCTGTATTAGCACACTGGCCATTGACATCAACTATATTTTCCTTACATCATTAGCAGATGAGTCCTGGCTCGCAGGCAAATGACATAACCTACATTTTTCTTACATTATCACCAAGTGAGTTCTGGTACAATGACCACTGGCATGAGCGACATTTTCATTACATTATCACCACGGGAGTTCTGGCCCATGTGGCCACTGGTGTCACTTACATTTTCTTTACATTATCACCAGGTGAGTTTCTAGCATAAGGGCCACAGGCATAACCCATAGATTTTTACATCGTCATTAGGTCAGTTTTAAGCACACTAACCACTGACATCAGCACCCATTTTATATATATATATATATATATATATATATATATATATATATATATATATATATATATATATATTGCCCGTCTTGTCACATTCGTTCATTTTTCTCTTCTTCCACACCAGTTATATATTTATTAATCAAATTATATTCAAATTTGGTGATTATCTTATTTTGACGGCTTTTGATACCCTCAAGATTCTTTCTTTTTGTTTTGTTTTTGAAGAGCTTGTCTTGAATTAAATAAATTCCGGATGAACTGAATATTTTTAATCATTCTCTATTTGCCTTCTTGATTCGGAGCCCCGCATTCGTTATTTATTGGTTTGATTTCAAATACAGCTTGTTCGTGATGTCACTTTACACTCATATTTTTATTAGCAGACATGTCTCAATATAGGATACAAGAGGAGAATATGAACGAACATTATAAAAAATGTCATAATTTACATCCATTACCATCAATACTAGTTGGGATCCAGTATCTGTCTATATTTCTGAGATGAGGTATTATGTACACTATTTACATTATTCGGACTATTGTCCTCATCTTTGTCGCCATATTTATTACAACGTTTCGGCACTTCAGTATCTGTCTATATTTCTGAGATGAGGTATTATGTACACTATTTACATTATTCGGACTATTGTCCTCATCTTTGTCGCCATATTTATTACAACGTTTCGGCACTTCAGTATCTGTCTATATTTCTGAGATGAGGTATTATGTACACTATTTACATTATTCGGACTATTGTCCTCATCTTTGTCGCCATATTTATATAATGATTGAAATTGACTAAATAAACGTCATTATGGCTGCTTTCAAATCATCCAGTGATCACGGCCGATTTTGCTACACTGCAGATTTTGCTGTTCCCAACAGATAAAATTTTCTTGGATTTAGATCCAGCGAGAGTGTGGGGACACACATTTTGGGATTTCATGCGATCTGTAAAAATTTTCTATATACGTAGATCGGTGACATATGTGGTCAGAAACATCGTCCTGTTGAAACCACGATTCATTTCCTAACATGTCATCTGACCGATGAAGGTAGAAACAATTGCAGAACAATAATGATCGCTGTTTATTGTGTTCATTAAGAAAATAGAGCCAACAAATCGATATCCAGCACGTTAACAGTATTCTATTCGATAAGTCGA